CCCTGTACAATCCCTCCATCTAATGCACAGTATATAAGAAGGGCACCTCAATTTCAACTTCATCTATATTCAATGTTGTGCAATATACTGAGATATTTATATATTAGAGCTATTTTGTTATATTTTGTATTACTGAATTTAGTCTAGTTAGTTACTGTTTTGGAGCAAGTGTGACTACATAATTTCATCTGGAATTAACAAAATATTCTGATGCCCATGAGGCATCCTGGTCAGATACACAAACTACCTCAACTGGGTCCTTTCGATGAGGATCAGCAGCTCTGCTCTGATCTTCAATGACTGAACTCCTCAGCCGGTCTCTAAGGCACCATCCATTTGAACCTTTTATATTTTGATTTTCCTGACAGTTACTGTTTATTGACCTAACACCTAAGCAATGTGTGTAAGCACATGCATACACACAGAACTAGTCCCAAACCTTTTGCATACCTTTTCTCCATTGTAGAAGAAGAGCAGTGTGGGATATCCCCTCACACCATTCTCAGAACACACCTCGTAGTGCTGAGTACAGTCCACCTAGTTCACAAATACACAAACTTGTGTTATTAAACAGGAATGTCGCAACACTGCAAACACTGGCTCTGTGGTCTGTTTTTATAACACAGTATGCAAATAGTTAACTCCTTATATGATCAACATCTGTTCTGTCACACAGGATCCTGACAGGAATCATTTAAGAGTAAATAATAATGTTTGCCCAAAGGGGACCTGGGACTAATTCAAGAAAGTAAACTTTCATTGTAGTGAGTGTCCATCTGTTCTGTTGTTTTAACATCTGAACCCACCTTTCCTATCTTCACATCGTCAGAGTGCTCAAAGGTGGTGGCCAGCTGTTCCCATGTTGGGGCCATGGCTTTGCAGTGACCACACCAAGGTGCAAAGAACTTGATAAAGTGGGCGCCTGAGGCAGGAAGAAAAGAAAGAAAGGTAGAACATGAAAAGCCTTGCAGCATTTGCACACCAGCTTTTAGGGAATTTATACATTTACACAAATCTACCAAAGCGAGGCTGAAGTTTATTGGTCCAGAAAATGAACATAAGAAAGCTGATTTCACTGCAAACTCAACACAACCTGTTGTAAAAGGATATGCACCTCTTACAGCTCACATGACCCAATTAAGCAACGTTTATTGCATCCCTGTTGCCAAGATGTGAAAGTGGGGACCTATAAACACCGTTTTAAAAATACCTATGTCATATCCTGCCGATTTTCATCTCCAAACAAGAAATCTTTTTTTTTTTTCCCTTCAAAACCAAAACATTCAACTTCAGTGGAGCTCAAGAGGCGTAATTTCAGCGAGACAATTATCGTGAGCGGCGTTTATTTTTGCAGTTGTTGCCTCAAAGTCCAGAAACGTGAGGTGACGGGAGACGAGGGTTTTTACAGTCGGCTGGCTTTGACTAACGCTCGGGTACTCGGGTGGTGAAATGTCAGTTATGTAAATCTAGTTAATGAGGTGTTTCCATTCTCCAATGTGAGATCCAGAAACTCGGTGTGGCTGAAAACTGAAAGCAGAATCAAAAATGACGGCAACACAGACACGGCTTATCTGTTACAGCAGGATGCAGCTGCGTAAATACGCAA